CAGTCCAACACTCTGTCACACAGTGGCCAAAAATACCAGGTGCCATCAGGAGGTCCAGCAGTGGGGCCAGGACACTAGGAGCCCTCCCACTGTTGCCCCCCCTCCAAGCACCAAGAAGACAGAGCATCCCTTGCCCCAGACTGAGAGCTCCTATCTTTACCTTGTGGCTATAGCCACTGATGGACCTCTGCTCCATATAAGAACATAAGAGAAGCCAATGTTGGATCAGGCCAATGGCCCATCCAGTCCAACACTGGCCGAAAACACCAAGTGCCATCAGGAGGTCCAGCAGTGGGGCCAGGACACTAGAAGCCCTCCCACTGTTGCCCCCCCCCTCCAAGCACCAAGAAGACAGAGCATCCCTTGCCCCAGCCTGATAGTTCCTATCTATTTTGTTGTTCAGTCGCACAGTCGAGTCCGACTCTTCGAGACCCCATGGACCAGTTCACGCTAGGCCATACTGTCTTCCGCCGTCCTCTGAAGTTTGCTCAATTTCATGTTCGTTGCATCTATGACACTGTCTAACCATCTCATCCTTTGCCGTCCCCGTCTTCTTTGACCTTCAATCTTTCCCAGCATCAGGGTCTTCTCCAGTGAGTGCTCCCTTCTCATTGGGTGGCCAAAGTATTGGAGCTTCAGTTTCATTATCTGGCCTTCCAGGGAACAGTCAGGGTTGATTTCTTTTAGGATTGACTGATTTGATCTTCTTGTGGTTAATAGCCACTGATGGACCTCTGCTCCAAATGTTTATCCAATTCCCTCTTGAAGCCGTCCATGGTTGTAGCCGCTGCCACCTCCTGGGGCAGTGAATTCCATGTGCTAATAACTCTTTGGTGAAGAAGGACTTCCTTTTATCTGTTTTAACCCGACTGCTCAGCAATTTCATGGAGTGCCAACGTATTTCACCCAAACAATACATCGAGTGCAGGTTTGCATTCAGACAACACCTTGCCAGTAACACTATCACTAGTCCCAACAAGGTGCTGTCTGAATGTAAACCTGCACTCGATGTATTGTTTGGGTGATAATATTTGATACCAATTTAGACAACAATATGGAAAATATATATATAAAAAGAGTAAAGCATAACCTTGTTTTACTATAAACATATATTTATTGGTAAAGGTTGCTCGAAAGCCAGTCGAGTCCGACTCTAGGGTTGTGGTGCTCATCTCCGTTTCAAAGCCGAAGAGCCAGCACTGTCTGAAGACATTTCCGCAGTCATGTGGCTGGTATGACTAAACGCCAAGGCGCACGGAACGCTGTTACCTTCCCACCGAAGTGGTACCTATTTATCTACTTGCAATTTCTTGCTTCTGAGCTGCTAGGTTGGCAGGAGCTGGAACTAGAGACGGGAGCTCACTCCGTCATGCGGCACCCGGGTCTCGAACTGCTGAACTACTGACCTTCCACAGCCTGCAGTTCAGCGTCTTCACCACTTGAGCCACCGCAGCTCCTATATTTATTGTACACAGTGATATATATTTTTGTACGTCTTCATAACACTGTGGCCCTCCGTTTTTGTATTCACCTCCAGGGGATGGTTGGAGTTCTCCTGGGCCGGAATCACAACTGATCTCCAGGCAACGGGTGCTTTGGAGGAGGGACTCTCCCTTCCCAAACCCCACCCTCCACAGGCTGCGCACCCAAAATCTCCGGAGCGGGCAACCCTGTTGTTCCAAAGAGAACCCTTCAAAAAAAATTAAAATGAGAGCCCTGATAGGCCAGACAAGCCCGATCTCGTCAGATCTCGGAAGCTAAGAAGGGGCGACCCTGTCAAGGACTTGGATGGGAGACCTCCCAGGAGTACCAGGGCCGGGACGCAGAGGCAGGTAACATCAAAGCCACCTCTCTGAAATGTCCCAGTCCCATTAGGGGTCGCCAGAAGTCACCGTGACTCCCAGGCATGCCAGCACATACACACGCACACACAATAATACCCACAAAACCATGAGAAGGGAGGGTATCAAGGTGGCCAGCCTCTAGGTGGTACCTGCAGATCTCCCACAATCAGGGGCATTTCCTGCGGGAGCACACAGGAGCGGAGCTCCGGCAGTAAAGAGCCCAGGGGGGCGGGCACATGCAACAAGCCCCACCCCCTGCTCCCAGCAGCCCTCAGTCAGAGCTAGAAGCAGCCAGGTAAGTTGCAGAGCCCCCCCCCCGGGCCCCCGGTCCAAAACAGTCCAGTGGCACCTTTAAGACCAAGTTTTATTCAGGTACCAGCTCTCCCTCCTCTGCGAGGACAGATCTGCACGTTCCCCCCACCAATAGCTAGCCATCCAAAACAGTCCAGTGGAGCCTGAGCGGTGGGTGTTGCCTTCTGACACACTTCCGGTGACGTCAGGGGGTGTGGCATATGCAAATAAGTTATGCTAATGAGTTATGCTACTGAGCTCCTGCCCCTCTTTTTCTACGGAATGACCCCTGCCCACAATTATACAGGATTTCCAGACAACAGAGATCAGTTCCCCTGCAAAACTCGGCTGATTTGGGGTTGGGATGCCAGCCTCCAGGTGGGACCTGGGGATTCCCTGGACTTACAGTTCATCTCCAGACTACAGAGATCAGTTCCCCTGCAGAAAATGGATGTTTGCGGGGGGTGGGGTGGGGGGGTGGCCTCACCGTCTTTGTCTGAGATCCCTGTCCTCCCCAAGCCCCACCCCCAAATCTCCAGGTCTTGTTTCCCAACCTAGATCTGGCAACCTCATGCTCCACCGGTGACTGGGGGAGAACCTGACAACCCTAAGTTGGAGGGTGGACTCTACGGCATTATACCCTGATGAGGTCCCTCCCCAAAGTCCATCCGCCCCAGGGTCCACCACCCCCCTCCCAAATCTCCAAGTACTTCTAGAGTTGGTAACCCTGGAGGGGGGTGTATGCAAACCTGAGCTGTTCAAGAGCTATTTTCTGCTTAGGTGATAGGGTTGCACTGTACAGAATGGTTCTCAAATGTTTCAGTTCTCCCTTCTGGTGGTTCTAGACGTCTAAAGTCCTGATGCATTGGTTAGTGGATGTCTCACTTTGTCGATCGCACACTAACTCACTTTGTGTCATCTGTCGTGGGTCCCTGTGCGAAAGGTGGACTGCAAATAATGGAAACAAACAAATGTTTAAAAAGTGGATGTTCCGGCGCTGGGCCTGGATTTGACCTCGCCACGGAATCCAGCACCCGGAGAAACCTCGTCTTGCTGCTTCTTTTAAAAAGCAAGATAGTAGCCCTTCTGGTCCCCAAGAAGAATCTTCAGGTGTTGCAGAGAAAGGAGAAAAGGCAAGAGGGTCTCTGTGTCCGAAAACCAGTCCCGCCAGTGCCAGACTTCCCATGGAAACAGTGGCCTGGGAAACAGGTCCGGGGGGGGGGGGAGGGTATTGTTTTTTTAAAAGAAGCAAGACCTCTAGTCCTCATTATTTCAAAGGGAATTCTTCAAAAAGTGTGTGTTTTAAAAAATCAAGGGAAGCCAAGTTTCATCCTCACTAGGATCAAACCTGTCAGAACTCACCTTCCTGAAAAACTAGGAAGAGGGAATTGTTTGTTTGTTCCTTTTTTAAAAGCAAGTTGCTAGTCCTTATCATTCCAAATGGAAATCACAGGCAGAGAGACAGGACTGCACTGTCATAGCCAGGAGCTACGTGTCTCAAATTTGGCTGCCAGCAGCACTGATCCTGACCCCTAATATTAGGAGGAAGAAAAAGTTCTCTCTCTCTCTCTCTCTCTCTCTCTCTCTCTCTCTCTCTCTCTCTCTCTCTCTCATAAATGTACTTTTATAAAACTGTCTAATATTCCTCTGTAGTTAGTTGTCTTTTCTCAAACTAAAAAGCACCCAGGTCCTTCCATTGTTCCCTTGAAAGAAAGATGCTTCAAGTTTTATTTTGAAATCAATTTGTAGAATGGGCGTTTCCTGAGCAACAGCCAAGAACTCCACCACTTTATCATCATTTAATATTTCCAAAAGTGTCAAAAAATTAGCATTGTGTATACATATTTTCCCCCCCTGCGTCT